GCATCAGCCTGAAAACAGCCCTCAGCCCCTCACCCAGACTGGCCAGGCACCCCAGTGGGGACCCCCACCCTGAAGGGTGTGTGACCAGCTGCAAACAGCCATCATCCCCTCACCCAGGCTGGCCAGGCACCCCAGTGGGGCCCCCCACCCTGATCCAGGACACCCTTCAGGGCAAACCAGCCAGCCCCCATTCATGCACCAGGCTTCTATTCTATATAGTAAAAGGGTAATATGCCTCCCAGCAATGGGATCAGCGGAGCCGCAAGGCCTCCAGGCACCGGGATCCGCGTGACAGGGGGCAGCGCCCAAACCCCCTGATCGCCCTGCGGCTGTGTGTGTGACGGGGCAGGGACACAACCTCCCTATCGGCCCTGCTCTGTTCCTGACAGGGGAAGGCGCCCCAACCCCCTGATCGGCCCTGCTCTGTGCCTGATAGGGGGGAGCTCCCCAATCCCTGAGCGCCCTGCGGCTCTGTGTGTGACAGGGTGTGGCGCCCCAACCCCGCCCCCCCCACCGGCCCTGCTCTGTGTGTGACAGAGTAGAGCCATAACCTCCCCATCGGCCCTGCCCTGAGTGTGAGAGTGGTAGCGTCCCAACCCCCTGATCGGCCCTGCTTGGTGTGTGACAGGGGGTGGTGGCACAACCTCCCCATCAACCCTGCCTTGAGTGTGACAGGGGGCAGTGCCCCAACCCCCCAATTGGCCCTACCCTGAGCGTGCCTGAGGGTGGCATCGCAACCTCCCAATCCTCCCTGTTCTGTGCATGACAGGGAGCGGCGCCCCAACTCCCCAATCGGCCCTGCTCTGAGCCCACCCAGGGGCTGCACCTAGGGATTGGGCCTGCCCTCTGCCACCCGGGAGAGGCCTAAGCCAGCAGGGCATTATCTCCCGAGGCATCCCAGACTGCAAGAGGGCACAGGCCAGGCTGAGGGACACCCCTGCTCCCCCCCGAGTGCACAAATTTTTGTCCACCGGGCCTCTAGTTATATAATAAGAAACAAAAAGAATTTTTCAAAAATATGTTAAAAATCTGAACAGACCTTTTTCAAAAGAAAATACATAAATGGCTAATAAGCAGAAGTAAAAATATTCCACAACATCAGTAATCAAGGAAACAAAAAATCCACAATAAAGCATCACTATACATGCATTTAAAATGGCAAAATTTTAAATTATCAATATTCTTTTTTTTTTAAGTGAAATTCAATGGGAACTGTCATACATTGATGGTGGGAGTGTAAAATGGTATACTACTATGGAAAAACAGTTTGGCAACTTATATTAAAACTAGAGGCCCGGTGCACGTAATTCGTGCGAGGGTGGGGGAGGGTGTTCCTCAGCCAGCCTGCACCCTCTCCAATCTGGGACCCCTAGAGGGATGTCCGACTGCCCGTTTAGGCCCGAACGGGCAGTCGGACATCCCTCTCACAATCCAGGACTGCTGGCTCCCAACTGCTTGCCTGCCTGCCTGATTGCCCCTAACCGCTTCTGCCTGCCAGCCTGATCACCTCCTAACCACTCCCCTGCCAGCCTGATGGATGCCTAACTGCTCCCCTGCAGGCCTGGTTGCCCCCAACTGCCCTCTTCTGCCTGCCCGGTCACCCCTAATTGCCCTCCCCTGCAGGCCTGGTCCCTCTGAACTGCCCTCCCCTGCTGGCCATCTTGTGTCCACATGGGGGCGACCATCTTGTGTGTTGGAGTGATGGTCAATTTGCATATTACCTCTTTATTAAATAGGATTCATTTACCATTTAACCCAGTGATTTAATTTCTAGGTATTTATCAATATAAACTGAAAACATATGTCCACAAAAAATCTTACATACATTTATACCAGCTTTATTCATAATGACCACAAACTGGAAACAAACTAAAGACCCATTAACAGGTAATGAATAAACAAATTATAAATACTACTCACCGCCCAAAATAGAAGATGAATGAATTACATGCAACAGCATGAATTTTCAAAACATTATGTTAACTAAAGAAAACCAGAAACATATATAAAATTTAGAATAGGCACAATGGATCTATAGTGGCATAAAGCAGGTCAGTAGGGCTTGAGGCTGAGAAAAGGGAAGGAAAACTGACAACAAATAGGCATGAGGGAACTTTTGGGGGTGGTGGGACTATTCTATATCTTAATTTGGGTGGTTATGTGGGCTTATATATTTATTTGCCAATACCTATTATTAAATTAAAAATATGTGCAACTTATTCTATCTAGTTTATATTTAAATAACACTGATTTTAAAAGAAAAAAGTTAAAACTATAAAAATCATCTATGTACTTACCACTCAATTTTGTTAAAATTACTTCTAATTTTTCCAAAGTTTCTATGCACTATTTGGTACCATTTTCTCTAACTGTACCACTTCTAATCAACTTATCATGTCATTAATAATTATTTGTAGACATTAAATAGCTTAATGAGCTCTACTTTATTATTTTAATAAAAAATTATCTTAGAGTTTAGATTTTCCAGTTTTCATTTTTATCAATAATATCCCAATGATCATCTCTGCATTTAAAGTTTTGTCCACATTTGTATCATTTCTTTGGTAAACAGTTCTAGTAAAACAGTATTAGGTTAGGTTAAAGGATAAAAGAAAAAGATACTTATGTCACTCCTATTTTTCTGGAAATTGCCTTATAAAATCTACTTAAAAGCGTAGCCACCTTTACAAACCTCGCCTGTGATTCTTATTTCAAGATACATTTTTTTAAAAATATATTTTATTGATTTTTTACAGAGAGGAAGGGAGAGAGATAGAGAGCTGGAAACATCAATGAGAGAGAAACACCGATCAGTTGCCTCCTGCACATCTCCTAGTGGGGATGTGCCGGCAACCCAGGTACATGCCCTTGACTGGAATCGAACCCGGGACCTTTCAGTCCGCAGGCCGACGCTCTATCCACTGAGCAAACTGGTTTCGGCTCAAGATACATTTTGATTAATTAGCTTCTTAGGAATTGGGGAAAGACTTCAAGGAACAGTTAACAAAAGATAGCTGCAAAATGCCCATGGAAGGTCGTTTCTTTTGCTGCTCTTTGTATTGTGGAGTCTTATAAAAAATTCATCTAAAACATCAGTTGTAGGAATTGGAGTGGAGCTGAACTGTTCCACTGACTCCTTATGGTCACTTCCTTTACTTCTTCAAGTCTCTCTTGGATGTCTCTGTATCAGAGAGGTCTTCTTTAGCCTCCCTTTGTAATTCAAAGACCCTCATGGTCCTCAAAACAAACACACACACACACACACACACACACACACACACACACACACACACACACACACACGGATTACTCCTTCTCTCCCCACTTAGCCTGATATACATTTTTTTCATTATACTTATAATCTGGCATCTGCCACACACACCACCTTCACCCCCTGGGAGAAAGTAAACTCCATGAGAGCAGGAATTTTATTTTGTTCACTGGCATATCCCTATCACTTCAGTGTAGCCCTCAACTATTTGTTGAATGCAAGCTACTAGTAGAATGATTGGGGATGGAGGAACTTGAAGTTGTTGACAGAAAATCCTGGAGGCAAGAAAAAATAAAGTGAGATTGGGTACTATGTTTCTGAAGAGAAAACCAAAACAAAACAAAGCAAACAACTCTTGGGGGGAGAATCAAAATGTCTACTGGAATGCTGAAGTTATTAGTTAAGAGTTGTGTTTAAACTGTTTGCTCTAAGTTCATGATGAAAACTGAACACCTACCTCCCATTCCTCTACACAATCTTTAGTTAAATCTACAATGCATGAATAGATATGGAATGGGAGAAGGGGAAGAATATGAAATGGGCCAAGTTCTACAGCAAGTTTGACAAAAAAAATTCAAACAGTAAAGCACTTAAAAATAAATTTAAGAAAAGACACTTCCTGAACCTTCAATTCTTAACCATAAAGTTGTAAACCACTCACGATTACGAGTACACTATTTTTAACTTACACACACTTAGGTATATTTATTATATTCTTCGGAGTCACAGAAAAGACACTAGAATAAATAACCAAAGGCACCGAAGGTAAATGATGACTTAACATCTTAAAATTCATGAAACATTCAGATAGTAAGTCCATAAACTCTTGAAAGGTATAATGGACTAAAGTCATGAATATTAAAGAGTATTCAAAACGATCATATTTTCTATTTAAACTTTTTTATTAAAAGCTATTTAGTTCATCCTTTATCTTGACTAGATAAGGCTGAGAACACCACAAAAATGATTATCTCCATGGGAAGGCATTTTCTCATTGGCATAATACATTTTATAAATTCCTCGATTATGGTAGTAATAAAAGGTCTAGATGATAGCTTATTAATACAAGATTTCTGTATTAAGATGCCATTGACTGTCATATGCACCATTAATGTAATAACAACTATGAACACAAAATAAATAAACTTGCTAACTCTTCACACTGAATATGAGATGCATTCCAACTATGAAAAAAGTCAATTAAGGGCAAAATTCATCTTATCATTGAGGAAATATTGTACTTTGAAAATAGAAGCCTGAATTCAGCAAGTTCATTGCTTACTGGTTTTGAGACCTGTATCAAAACATTGGCTCTTTGTAACTCTCATATGTCTGACTCTAAAAGGAAACCATTGTCTTCTTCCCTATAAGATGGGGGAAGGAAAGAACTGAGGAAGCAACAAACAGATCAGATGATCTTTGAAGGATCGTTCTAGCTCTAAGGCTGTGGTTTCTTGTTTCTTTTTTTTCTTTATTTTATTTTATTTATCCATCACCATTTATCCCCCCTATACCCTCCTCCACCTTCATCTCTCCCCCTCCCTCACTTCCCACCCCAGCAGTCACCACACTGTTGTCCATGCCCATGAGTTCTTTCCATTTTTTCCTTTTATCTTGATAATACAATTATTGAAAGGGAGAAGATGCTAATTTTATTAATTCATGCAAACCCTTATGTTAATTTTCATTCTCATCCAAATCTTTATCACAGTTCTTAGAGCATTACTACCTTTGTAACCCCTGATTTTCAGAGGGCCCTGAAGTTGTTGATTTTAGGAGTTGGTAAGTCATTCTTTCTTCATAAAATCTTCGACGACAAGCTCCAATAGCTAAAGTAGACACAGCTTCCAATGAACAGGACGGCAGCTCCGCTTCTAATAAGTTAATCCAATGGTTTTTGTCATGAGCAAAACAAGAAATCATGTTTTTAATCATACTAAAAGGTCTCTGCATTTTGTTAACATCTGGAGTTCAATCACTTCTGTGCTAAAAACCGGGGAATGCTTCAGCAGGGCATAAATCTTGCCCCCTCATTGTACATGCGATCCAGATGCTAGAGGAGAATTAACGTTCGTTTGTAACACATCTGGTGGCGGCAGCTTTGAGTAAACTCTAATAGAAAGAGTGCGGAACTAACGTGGCATTACACCTTTCCTCGGGCCAGGGGTTCTAGACTGAAGGTAAAAGCCTGCAGGTGTCCCTTGGGGCTTAGCAATAAACTGCACTAATCAGCTCTGGCATTGTGTTAAGTGCAGGGTGTTTTGAATTTTCCACAGAAATTTCACAGTCCAGTAACTCTACATTCCAACTGTCTGCTTTTGACAACTCTTTAGATTTGCCACCATCTTGAAACACCAAACAAAGGAAAGGCCCAGAGTCACCATCAGAGGTGGGCTATCCCAAAAGGTGGCAGATCATGGCCAGTGCAGTGGTGAGCAAATGACAAGACTGGCCTAATTGTAGAAATGAGAAGTGACTTAGAATCTACCCTACAGGTAGTCTGGTGGAGTTGAAAGAGCTTTGAATTTGACCTGGGACATCTGAACTTAAGTCTCACCTCTGGTTTGTATGCAGAAGTCCAAAATTACCTGAGTTCCAGCTTCCAAATAACATGATGGCTTTTTGTAAAAAAAAAAAAAAAAAGGTCAAATTTCTTAGAATAACATTTTAATTCACTTTTTAACATAGCCTTCCTTTCCAACCTCCTTTATCCTCAACATACACTTGGATTTTAAATTACAACAAATATCTTGCTTTTTAAAAACCTGTTGCAGGCCTAGCTGGTTTGGCTCAGTGGTTAGAAAGTTGGCCCACGAACTGAAGGGTCTCAGGTTCAATTCTGGTTAAGGGCATGTATCTTGGTTACAGGTTCAATCCCTGGAGGGAGGCAAATAATCGTCATAGATTGCTGTTTCTCTCTCTATGTCTCTCCCCTCCCTTCCACTTTCTCTTTCTAAAAAGAAAAATAATAATAATAATAATAATAATAATAATAATAATAATAATGGAGAAATTATCCTTGGGTGAGGAGTAACAAAAATAAAATAAAATAAAAACCTGTTGCATATGTTTGTGCTTTGGAGCCTTTGTTCATGCTCTTGCTACTGGTATTCATGCTTTGCTTCAGTTCATTTGCTGACCTATTATTTCCCACATGGCTCTAAGTCTCCTTTTCCATAAGGCACTGGTACATGTTTCCATTACTGCACTTTCCATGGTAATCAGGTATTGCCCATTGTTCTGTGTGCCTATCTCCTTAGCTAAACTTTGATTCCACTTTATGAGAATCTGTGAGAGAAAAGGTGATGCCTATTGGAAGCATCCAATCAAGTCTGAGGGATACACTGCATGCTGTTACAGATGGCCTCCAATTGAATTACTCTTCTGTGAGAAAATTCTTTTTTTTTTTTTAAATTTTTATTGTTGAAAGTATTACATATGTCCCCTTTGAGAAAATTATTTCTGATAGGGTATGCAAATGCTACTGGACAACTGCAGGGTTTACATTAGGATGTAAAAGAACATCTAGGTAACTATAAATGTGTCTTATGAGGGCATTGTGCTAAGATGCTCCCCCATGAGAGCATCGAAACAAAGATCAGAATCACATGTCCCCATCCTGCCTGGCTCTTGTGCTCATTGAGGATAACATCTTCTACCTTATTCAAAGTATTCTTCTTTATTGTAAGTTGGTGCATATTGTCTGATGGAATTTTATGAGTTAAATGTGCATATAATGTGATTGCACTAATTATGTATTTTGAATTTGGTATTTGTAACTATAAACTAGAATGCCAGAAGAAGCAACTCGCTAGTTTAGACTTGAAAATTGCCACACTACCAAATGAATCATCCTATCTAATAAAAGCCTAATATGCTAAGAGTCGGGTCATCTGGTTGGCCGTTCAACCAATCAAAGCTTAATATGCTAATGATATGATAAGGCCACTCAACCACTCGCTATGATGTACACTGACCACCAGGGGGCAAACAGTCCAACCAGTAGGTTAGCTTGCTGCTGGGGTCCAGCCGATCAGGACTGAGCGCGATAGGCCGGATACGCCCTGGAGCCCTCCTGCAGTTTCTCCCCTGCTGGCCAATCTCCTACGTCTCTCCCCTGGCCCCGATCATGCATCGGTGGGGTCCCTTGGCCTGGCCTGCACCCTCTCACAATCCGGGACCCCTTGGGGGATGTCGGAGAGCTGGTTTTGACCCAATCCCCCAGGCCAGGCCGAGGGACCCCGCTGGTGCATGAATTCGTGCACTGGGCCTCTAGTATAGAATAAGGGAAATAAGATATGAACACCGATAAATGCTTATAATCTCATTAAAAGAAAAATGTGGCTTAAAAAAGATTGACAAGGGTATTGGTGTCTTAAAGACATAGATCTCTAGCAGTGATAAGATCCTGATAACTTCACTTTGCTTTTGGATAGCACTGTTTTCCCTAGTATTTTCATATACCTCATTCACTCATTTATTTGTCTTCTCTGGCCACCTATGAAGTAATGCCCAACAGTAAGCCTAGGGAAGAAGGAAGATTAAAGAATGACTATACTAATCTAAAAATAGCCAGATAGAATACATCAGTTGTTAAATAAATAAAAAAATTCTGATCTTTATAGAGGAGAACCAAGATGGCGGCATAGGTTAACGCCGGAGTTTGCTGCTTTGAACAACTACTTCAAAAGTGAAACCAAAAAACGGAAGGGACATCACCCAGAACCACAGGAACGCTGGCTGAGTGGAAGTCCTACAACTAGGAGGAAAGAGAAACACATACGGACACCCAGAGGAGGCACAGTGCTGAAGTCAAATTCTGAGGTGTGGAGTGCGCGGAGCGGGCTGGCGGCGGAGGGCGCGGTTGGCGTTTTCAATCGGGAGGGAGTCGCAGACTCTGAGCTCCAGATCCGGGCGAGTCTTTAGGGACCCAGACTCAAACAGGAGAAGCGGGACTGTCTGGCTTCGGTCAGAGCGAGTGCAGCTTTCTCTCTGAGCTTTGCAGCGGGTGCTGGGACTCAGAGAGGCAGAGCCCCTGGGGACAGGACTGAGAGCCGCCATAACTGCTCTCTCCGGCCCACCCTGTTGATCCTGTGCGACCCGCCCCGCCCAATCCCTGCACACAGGCATTTGTCGGATAGCCTCAGGCAAACGCCAGATTAGCACCTCCCTAGAGGACAGAAGTTCTCTCACTGCTGACACAGCTGATTCTCATAGCCACTTGGCCTGGAGGTCAAACCCTCCCTGGAATTAGCTACAACAATCAAGATTTAACTATAAGACTGCGAACAAAGACCACTAGGGGGTGCACCAAGGAAGCATAACAAAATGCGGAGACAAAGAAACAGGACAAAATTGTCAATGGAAGATATAGAGTTCAGAACCACACTTTTAAGGTCTCTCAAGAACTGTTTAGAAGCCGCCGATAAACTTAATGAGATCTACAAGAAAACTAATAAGACCCTCGATCTTATATTGGGGAACCAACTAGAAATTAAGCATACACGGACTGAAATAACGAATATTATACAGACTCCCGACAGCAGACCAGAGGAGCGCAAGAATCAAGTCAATGATTTGAAATGCGAGGAAGCAAAAAACACCCAACCGGAAAAGCAAAATGAAAAAAGAATCCAAAAATGCGAGGATAGTGTAAGGAGCCTCTGGGACAGCTTCAAGCGTACCAACATCAGAATTATAGGGGTGCCAGAAGATGAGAGAGAGCAAGATATTGAAAACCTATTTGAAGAAATAATGACAGAAAACTTCCCCCACCTGGTGAAAGAAATGGACTTACAGGTCCAAGAAGCGCGGAGAACCCCAAACAAAAGGAATCCAAAGAGGACCACACCAAGACACATCATCATTAAAATGCCAAGAGCAAAAGATAAAGAGAGAATCTTAAAAACAGCAAGAGAAAGAAACTCAGTTACCTACAAGGGAATACCCATACGACTGTCAGCTGATTTCTCAACAGAAACTTTGCAGGCCAGAAGGGAGTGGCAAGAAATATTCAAAGTGATGAATGCCAAGAACCTACAACCAAGATTACTTTATCCAGCAAAGCTATCATTCAGAATTGAAGGTCAGATAAAGAGCTTCACAGATAAGGAAAAGCTAAAGGAGTTCATCACCACCAAACCAGGATTATATGAAATGCTGAAAGGTATCCTTTAAGAAGAGGAAGAGGAAGAAAAAGGTAAAGATACAAATTATGAACAACAAATATGCATCTATCAACAAGTGAATCTAAGAATCAAGTGAATAAATAATCTGATGAACAGAATGAACTGTTGATTATAATAGAATCAGGGACATAGAAAGGGAATGGACTGACTATTCCTGGGGGGGAAAGGGGTGTGGGAGATGCGGGAAGAGACTGGACAAAAATCGTGCACCTATGGATGAGGATAGTGGGTGGGGAGTGAGGGCGGAGGGTGGGGCGGGAACTGGGAGGAGGGGAGTTATGGGGGGAAAAAAAAGAGGAACAAATGTAATAATCTGAACAATAAAGATTTAATTAAAAAAAAAAAAAAAAAATTCTAAGTAAACTTATAAATGGTTATTGTGGAAAACAGCTTAGATTGAACAAGACACATTCAGTTCAGATTTGATGGATAAATAACTAATAGTAGACATCTTTTTATCTGTTTAAAAAAGATCTGAGGGGTTGTTTTAAAATAAATTATTCATTTCAACTCTTCCGAGACATGTATTTTAGGCATAACTCTTATATAAAACATAGAATTGGGTTTTTCATTATGATTAAGCATGATTTTTTAAATTTTTTTAAACGTTTCTATTGATTTTTAGAGAGAGAGGGAGGGAAAGGGATTGAGAGATAGAAACATCAATGAGAGAGAAACATCATCGATAGGCTGCCTACTGCATGCCCCCTACTAGGGATCAAGCCTGCAACCTGGGCATGTGCCCTGACCAGGAATTGAACAGGTGACCTCTCGATTCCTGGGTCAATGCTCAAACACTGAGCCACACCGGCTGGGCAAGCATGATTTTTTAAAAAGGTAAGTTGCCCACTTATATTTATGGAAGCCAGTCTTGTTTGGTCTTAATTCTGTCATTCATGTCATGCTTTCTGTTACAAATTTATACTACATGATCTATTTTCTTCCCTTTGTTCTCTGTTTATGTGTTCTTGATTTTTAAAACTCATAATAAAATGGGAATGATACATGTTATAATGCAAAGGAGTATATATCTCAATCATCATCTGACTTAATGTTATACTTTTACCAAATCTTTAAAAAAAATGGGTAGTTCCAATGATATTTACAATGTTCCAGAAAAAATTTTCTACTAAGATCATAAATGAGACATAATTTTTTTATTATCACTACACTTTCATTTAACCCTGTCTAAAGGTATTAGCCAACACAATTCAATAAGAAAAATAAACTAAGGTATAAAAAAGGAAAGAAGCCCTAGCTGGCTTGGCTCAGTGGGTAGAGCATTGGCCTGCGGACTGAAGGGTCCCGGGTTTGATTCTAGTCAAGGGCACATGCTTGGGTTGTGGGTTCAATCCACAGTAGGGGATGTGCAGGAGGCAGCTGATCAATGATTCTTTCTCATCATTGATGTTTCTATCTCTCTCTTCCTCTCCCTTCCTCTCTGAAATCAATAAAAATATATTTTAAAATAAATAAAAAAGGAAAGAAGCTAAAATTATCATCATTTGCAGATAACATGATTGTATATCTGGAAAAGAACATGAGAATAAAATTTTTTAAAAGTACTCTAGCAATAAGAGAACTCTGCAAGGTACTTGGGTAAAAAAAATTAATGTACAATGACAGCCTTTATACATACAAACAATACTCAACTGGATGATCTACAGGAGAGAAGATCCCATTTACAAAAGCAATAACAACAACAAAACCTGGGGATACACTTAACTAGAAATAAATTAGATCAATATGAAGAAAATTTTAAAATTCTCTTGAGAATAACAAAATACACATTCATGTACATATACATCACACACATACACACACACTTGAACATAAAGATAAGCATATAATATACATGGGAATGAATATACAAAAATATGTAAGAACTCAATTTTACCTCGGTTAATTTATAAATTTGATGTTTTTGTTTTAGACCAGGGGTCCTCAAACTTTTTAAACAGGGGGCCAGTTCACTGTCCCTCAGACTGCTGGAGGGCCGGACTATAGTTTAAAAAAAAACTATGAACAAATTCCTGTGCACACTGCACATATCTTATTTTGAAGTAAAAAAACAAAACGGGAACAAATACAATATTTGTATTTGCATGTGGCCCGCGGGCCGTAGTTTGAGGACCCCTGTTTTAGATGATAGGCTAATTGACTCTGAAGATCATCCGGAAAAATAAGCAAATAAAAATAGCCAGAGAATTTCTGAAAAACTAAAGCAAGACAAGGAAATTATTTCTACCAGGTTTTGATACCTACTATAAATCTAATCAAAATGAATATTTTGCTACTTACACATGAATTAGACAGATAAGTCCATAAACGAGAAAAGAAAAAACAGAAATAGATCCAAATACATACAGTAATATAGTAAAGACACAGGGAACATTTCAAAATGGCATTGAAAATATGGATTTTATAATAATTTGTGCTGAGAAAGTTAGGTAAACACCTGAAAAAGTTTTGGATTCCTATCATGCACCAGAATAAGTTGAAAAGTGATAAAAGATCTAAGTGTAAAAAATGAAATCACAAAAGTAGAAGAAACTATGAAAAAAACTATATTCTTTCAAGTGAGAAAAGGTCTCTAAGAATAAATAAAATCCAGAAGCCCTATAAAATTTATAAGTTGACTATATATAACTTTAAAAATTTTTTGTATGGCAAGAATATAATAATAATCAAAATCAATAAAAAAATTGAGAGAAAATATTTGCATAAGAAACAAAAAGCTAATTTCTTTAATATGTAAAGAATTTCTACTCGTCAATGAGAAAAGAATCAACAATCCAGTAGCTTAATGAGTGGAGATTGTGAAGAAACAAAGCACAGAAAAGCAGATACAGACAGGTCTTCAATACATAGAAAGATATTCAAGAAATGATGCTTTAAATTTAATCTTCCACATTTAAAACACTATTTTTAAATCTAGAAGAATGGAAAAATTCAGAAAGTACGGTAACTCTGCATTGGCCAGAGTTCAGGGGAAAAAACACCTCCACACACAGATCACGTACACTCAAATCAATAAAACCTGTTGGCAGGGCATTTTGACCATACTTATCAAAACTACGAATACACATGCCTTTAATCAGCAATTCCACATTTAGGACTATAGCCTACAGATTTACTCACACATGTGGTAAAATGATATATAAGCAAGATTATTCACTGCAACCTTGTTTATAAAAGCAAAATATATTAATCATCTAAATATCCATCCATAGAGTACTGCTTATACAAATTGTAGTGCATAGATATAATGTTATATTATAAATAGTAAATAAAGAAATGTTTTATGTACAGATATATGATGATCTCCAAATATGTTGTTGTTT